TTTTAATTTTTTTCACTTATTATAGATCACGTATATTACAGATTTTCAGTATTAGTAGTCGGAACGCAACCGTAATTTTGTCGTCATAAGTATGTGCATAATTTGATTTGTTTATATATAATTATAAACTAAATAAATTATAAAAAAATTTGTTTTTAATATAAAGAAATTTTTTGTTATAATAGATTTTAATAAATCGTATTCGAGTAATTTTTTCTATCGATTTTGTAAAGTAAACAAAGGTAGATTGTCAAAAACTTAGCACTGAAAATAAGGAATTAATGCGAACTATTACAAACTACAATAATGATTTGAAAATAAATGATTCCCAAATCATTGGAATTAAAAATAATTCTTTACTAAATGATATTTCATCATTTTATGTAAAAATTATTATGTGGATGTCATGCATGATATTTTTGAAGGAGTTTGTCATTATAACTTATATAACGCAATTACGTATTTCATAACAAAAATGAAATATTTTTATTTAAAAATACTAAATTCAAGAAAACAAAATTTTGAATATGGATTAAAAGAAATTGAAAATATTTCAGGTGAAATTACATCATCACATTTAGAACAAAAACATTTAAAAATGTCAGCTACAGAGATGATGACACTTATTATGTATTTTCCTCTTATGATTGGAGACTTAGTTCCATTTGATGATGAAATCTAAAATTTTTTAATTAATTTTATTGACATCATTGATATTATACTTTGCTTTGAAATTGACGAAGTAAATATTCTTTTATTAGAAAACAAAATTAAAAAACATAATAGTGATTATATTAAACTATCTAATGATACATTAAAGCCTAAGTTTCATAATTTAACTCATTATCCAACAATCATTTGTCAATCTGGACTTTTAAGGAAATTTTGGTGTTTAAACGAAGCAAAGCATCGACAATTTAAAATATACTCCCATTGTATCACTTCTCGAAAAACATTTGTCTTACCTTAAAAAATATCAATTTGCATATCAATTAAAAAATGAAACTCTAGCAAGTAAAACTTTTAAAATTATAAATATGATAAATATGAAATATCGAATAATTATCGTTCAATTATTAT